TCTTAATGCACAACTGTATACTTCTTTGTAGGACACACAACTTCTGTAGCCGCGACCATGGCAGCTCTGTCTGCAACAACTTTAAATGCCACAGCAGTGACGTGTAAGTCGAATGAAACTGCTGAAGTCGTAATATGTTGTTCGAAACACGCAGGGTGAAGTTCTCTAAACAGCAGTTTATCATTTCAATCAATTATTGACAACCGTTTCTCAAAATATACTGATGTCGTTTGCTAGAATCGTCCAGAAAGGCTTAAGGGTTGGATTTACCAAAGGCTTGGGAACTAAGACACCGTGCAAGGGGAATAGCAACAATTCTGAAAAAGTCGCTAAGTGCATATTTCTGCCCAAAACCTGTATATCTTTAATGCTTCATCAGAACATTGAACATTTCAATAGGTTTCGAGAATACTAAATTGGCGGCCGCGGATTATTCGAACATTGACGTCTAAGTTCACAATTTCTCTCCTTCCGGCGGATTTCCTCTTCTCTTACGAGAACTCGTCTCTTAGCCAGTGGGAATTTCTCCTTTACGCAGCAGAAATATGTATCATCTCACCGGAATTTCTGTCTTTCCACGAGAACTGTTCTCCTGCCCAGAGGAATTATCTTTTAGCCAGCATGAATTCTTCTAGTTTCACGAGAAGTTCTCTGCCACACAGCATGAATTTCTCTCCTAGCCAGCAGGAATACATACCCTTCCGCGAGAACTTCTCTCCTTCAACGAGGATTCCATTCCTCGGACGAGAATTTCTCTCTTGTGTAAGAGTAATTTCGCTCTCCTTGAAAATATCTTTCCTTTCACAGGAATTTTTGTAATAATCAAGCGAAGAATTGAATACCCCACAAAGTAATAATAAAGTAATAATTATTCTTCAGTTATATAACTCCCTGGTGTAAAGTTATGGAGGTCCAGTAGTTTGCTCTCTCAGTTGCTTGTCTCCTATATTCGAAAGATGGTGATGAGTAATTCAAATACTGCAAAAAAGAGTTGAATATATCGCCATATGAAGAAACGTTTTAGATAGCGTTGTGAACTTATTCATTTTTATTTAGCTTTGCCAACGGTCGGTAATACCCTGACCACTATGGTTAGTACCATTGCTGGGACAGTCATCTCCACCATGTCAACAACAACAACAACAACAACAACAACAACAACAACAACAACAACAACAACTACAACAACAACAACAAGAAGTAAGAGTCTGTCATTTGTATTCGTGCACATAGACGTAGTATAAGAGATTTCAGGGTTAGAAAAACGAGATGAACTCAACTTGCAGAGATCGGAGATAGGGTTAATGCGAACCAGGTGGAAATTCAGAATAATAGTGAATTAAAAAGTATTTTATTTTTAACTACTGTAAAATAAAACTCGACATCTGGTCTAACATTTACCGCTTCTGTAGCTTTATTTTGACGGCCTCTCCTTGTTATATCGTCATACGAAGAAACGTTTTAGATAGTTTTGTTAGCTTATTCATTTTTGTTTAGCTTCATCAATAGTCAGCAATACCCCAACCACTATGCTTAGTACCATTGCTGGAACAGTCGTCTCCACCAGGTCAACAACAACAACAACAACAAGTAAGAGTCTGTCATTTGTATTCGTGCACATACACGTAGTATAAGAGATTACAGGGTTAGAAAACGAGTTTAACTCAACTTGCAGGGATCGGAGACAGGATCAACGCGAACATTCAGACTAATAGTGAATTAAAAAGAAGCCCTATGGTTCAGAAGTTTTCCAGAGATCGAGGTTCAAAAAGGACCCCGACACAGAGTTGGAACCGGGCCGGTGCCGGGCCGGTCAGGTATAAAAGTTTACGCCGGCCGATCTCCATCGATCTTTTGCCGGTCTAGAAATATTTTCAAACCGACCAGGGATCGACCGGTTTTAAATTCTTAGCTTTTTTCTCTTCTTCGTTCAAGAAAACTGACATGTTCTTGAACGACCTTGAAATACGAAAAAGCTAGTGAAAATGACTTTTTCATTAAAAATATTTTGATTTACTGATAAAAGCGTCTAAACCGCCCAGTTTTTTGCCGGTTTTTCACCGTTCTCGAAATTTGTTGAAAACCGGCCGGTCTTTTTGCAGTTTTTCACTGGTCTAAAAAGATTTCTGGGCCGGCCGATCACCGGTCGGTTCGGTCCGGTCTGCTGTTTTGAACCAGCCGGCCCGGCCTCTTATTTT